CGAAAATCAGCAATAAAAATAGTTTCACACTGATACGTCTTCAGCTCTGGGAAGAAACTTGGCGTCAAGAACTGGTTCTGCAAAGAGTCACTTAGGAAAGTGTTCACTCTTCGGGAAACTCGTTATGTGAACTCAGAGGATGAAGCATCAATCCTCCAGCATGGCACAAACAATTCCATGCAGGAACTTCCGTTTTACGAATTAGTGCATCAACCCTCTCAGACTAGACTTGTACGATAACCAGCTAGCAGTTTACCAACTCCAGATGATCTAGGTCCCAAGTAAGCTCAGTGGCTTAGGTGGGTATTGCTCCAGGATGGGTCACGGATGCACAATTGGTGCGGTGACGGCGCTTCCTGACATTACTCAACACTCTCCTATGACACCAGCAACTATCAAAGCAATAAGGAGCTGTCAACAACTTGCTTCGAGAGCTCGAAAAACAGGAAATGACGCTTCTGTTGGTATAAATCCCTCCGAGAAGGTAAATGCTATAAAAGCCAAAGGAGGCAATTTCGGATACATTGCAGTATCTGCAAAGGAGAACTCGTCTAAAAACTTTTATGTATTTGTTTTTTTGCACACATGCGCTAAATTAAACACCAAAAGCCTCTTCATTTATGGGTTCTTCGCTGTTCCTTTGGCTTTTCTCTTCATCGCTCAGTTTGTTCGTCCCTAATCCTTCATTTCCAGGGGATACACCCTACTCCTTTGTAGGCTATCACAGGTATGTAGGTACGGTTCTAGGTAATATCCTGGACCCAAAACCTGTTTGCCCCTTTACTGCGAGTCCTTTAAGCGAACGCATTCCCTAGCAGGTACAATCTTAGCAGCTTCTACTATATTCAAGGATGCATTACTGGAGGACTAGGTAACTCAGTGATTGTCTCTTGAAAAACCAGTACAATCAATCATACCTGGGTCTTTTACAGTATCCTTCCAGGTCATTCTACTACAGTACCTCTATAACCGTTCTCTTACAGTATCCCCTGAGTAACTGACTTCCTTGAATGGCAGCTTGATAGAACAAAAGAATACTACTTCTAAGAGAGTGGAATCCTCCCTTTCTGGGGCAAACCAGCTTGACTGATAGACGGAATAGAGGCATTCAATCGCTTTCTAGTTTTCTGAGATGTCTCATCAAAGCGGCTCGTTCATCAAAGATTCATAATTTCCTTCTCACAAACAGGTTTAGTTTCTTGTAATCGATTCCGTAACGATATGATGTAAAGATCGGGATTGGTTTCGGCGAGGCACCAGAATCAAGACGTTTGTCAAAATAGCCAGGCGTCAATCCCTTCGTATAATTGGACTCAATTTTTTCTTGAAAATCCTGTTCGATTTCGTCCTGCCGCTTATTCCTGCCTTGGTTTCTCTTGCCAATTTCCTTTCTCACAGATCTTTTGTGGTCAACCATAAGTTCCTTTCGATATCTACCGATCTGGTAGTTTACCTAAAGGTCTATGGCCATCAATGGCTCGAATTCGGATCATCTACTCGTATCTGGGCTTTTGAATTCAATTTTCTACAGAGTTGAACGGTGGTGTAGAGAATACTGTGATGCTTTACTTGAGTGTCGTAGCTGTTGAGAATATACATATAAGAGTTTTTTTATTATTTTTCTCCATTTTCTGATATTTTGTCACTTTTCCAACCACGGTGACCACGATAAACACCGCTGTTTTCATCTTCATGATCGAAATCGTTTCCAAGCAATCCTTATTTGGTTGAAAGCCAGAGAATCCCATGTTCTTATACTTGGCGTTATCCGAGAAAATATTTTTCATCAAAATTTACTTTTGTGATCCTTTACAATTACTAGCCAGAGCGGATATGGTCAGAGTTATCCGCCGAGTGATTCAGAAACTTCCACCTAAAGTGTTTATGGGTAATCTTGATAATTTCGATTGAACATTTATAAAACACATGGAATTTCGAAAATATAAATGGTCTTTGAAGGATTTCCAACTGTCTTTATTCTTTCTGTTGCCCTTGCCTTGGCTAACTCCTTGGATTGAATTTTGGGACCAAAGCTACTGATTGTGCAGGAAATTACAGTAACCACTTTCGTGCACATACATCCGCAAATAGATTTTTTTGATTTTTTTTTGATCAATAACTCTCCCAATGTTTTTTGATCGAATATCTAGGAGTCCGGGATATTGAGTGGCTTTTTGGGAAAAGGTTGCCCAACAAAGTGCAGTCCTGGTCTTATTCTGTTCACGCAAGCTTATAGAAAGTACTAGGCCCCTTTGTCACCAAAACAGCATGCAGTGAGAAGCGTCAGGAAGAATGAGGTAGTAAAACATGCTTGAATTGATTTCCAGACACCCTAAGACTTCCCCACGCCCTACGAACACTGGACTGTCATGAGCTAAAGAAAATAAGCATTTACGCTCCGATGAAATCTAATTAAAAGCAATAAATTCGATTATTGCACTCTCAGGGCTTTTTTGTTGTGTTCTCGGGTAAATGGCTCGATTCAATCCGGCATCGAGACATTAGTTGATTGCGCCGGCATCCGTTCTCCATCATTAACGACAATGAAAAACCCCTTTCGATTGCTGGTTCGATGGCTGTTTAGAATAGAATCGGCTTGAAAATGCTTTCTGGAAACTTCAACTCTGAGTAAGTCGAGATAATTAGTTATAAGTAATTATTATATTCAGCTTAATCGTCGCGAGAGGCTATTTGTTTATGAGGCATTTCGACGTCGGCCTTGAAATCCTTCTCATTTCTGTCAACTTTATGAAAATTGAATACAATAAAGGTTGTTTTTTTTGGTATCAGAAATGGGTAACCCCTATGCTCATAGGAAAAAGAATTCCTGATTCCTGCTGTTGAAAAAGTTAGCATATAGGAGAGCAGCGCCAGGAATTCAAGGCACAGTTAAACATAAACATCGCTTTTGAGTTTGCTCTCTAAAATGAACGTGTAACTCTCAAAGATAGCCCAATAGACGCTGTCGTGCTGGAAATTGCCGTAAAACAGGGTAATAAGACCCGAAAAGTCAGCTTATCCGACGTATTCACCCAGTAACGGACGAGTTCTCTCGGTGTCGTAGAAGCTGTAGAAGTTTCTACATTCGCACTGAGAAGCACACGTTTTACACTGGTGGCTTTCTATAACCACGTGTACGTAATGACACAAATGTTTTGACAGCTCGTCCAAACGCCATTTTCACGGAACCTTTGTCGTCATATTTCCATCAGATCGCTAATTTCAATTTTTTTGTATTTTTTATAAACATTTTCATATTTCAAAGCCTCCGAACTTAGCGTTTTCTCAGTTGTATTCAAACCACTCTGAAAGATCACTTCCACTATTCGTTTGAAACTAGATGCCCCAAAATTATCGCGAACTCTGCCTCCAGGGGCCTTACAGCATGGTATTGTCTGGAGGGGTCCAGTGGATTTATTGGTTGGGTCGACCTCTCTTTTTCTTCACTCGGTGTATTCAAAACAAGTAAATGCAATCATCAGCTCCTACATAACTTAATTGCCTAGTAGCATGGCATGAAAGCTAAGGCGTGGGGTAATAAATCCCTTATAGGTACCTCGCCTCAGTCACTGTTTATTGTTGTTTATTGTCTGTTCTTTTTTGACTTCATAGAACTTTCTTAGGTAGTTTACGTCAGAATCGTTACACACCTCTGAATTGTGATGACTGCCACAGATAGGCTCAAAGCCACTAGGCCTTCCTTTGCTCTGTTTAATTTCGATGCTCATATTTTATTGTTGTCGCCTCTATTGAACACATAAATAAAAAGATAAAAAAACAAACAAATGAAATAATTAATCAAAATGGTTGCAAGGTTTTTCAGTTGAATTGGTAGTCTGAGGTTATTTTGTAAACTACGGCTCTGAAAACGCATCATTAGTCAACGGCTTCCTACAATCTGTCTCTCCCTTAAGAAACGTATTGGCTCTTTCCATGATTCAAAGTGAAATTTGAGAGCGCGGCGTATCGTGGAAAAAAGCTGACCAGGGTTTTCTCCAACGGCGAGAAGCTATCGGAAGCTAACGTCTGGGGAACTACCCTCCTCCCCAAGTCGTGCCCTCACATATGTATATATGTACGCTATGTGAACAGAAAGGAGGGGTTGGTTACCCATTTGGGAGCCTCTCATTGAAAGACATGAGTAAAGTCTTTGGCGTTATCCAACCACATTTTCAGAAAGCACACCGAAACCAACTCTCCTTCAAAATCGTGGTGGTATAGTAACTGCGTATACGGCCCATGGCCCGACTGTTTGGGGTGGCCAACCCATGAACAGGTTTTGTCCTCTTAGACGGTATCCGCCCAGACCTCTGGTACCGAACCCGGACCCAGAGGTCTGGGCGGATACCGAATCTAGATTCGAACCTCGCCCCAAGCGCTTGTGATGGTATGCCGCTTACCCCTTTAGCACTTTCGTCCGTTCCTACCTTACCGGTAAGAAAAGTCCATTGTGAGGCTCCCGTTTACGACTTTGGAGCACTTTTGTAAGCACAAGCGAGCGTCGTCCCATTTACGGAAATGTGTTCTTGTTTGGGCGGAAGAATTTGACTGAGAGAATTGCTTATCAATGAAATTTGTTCAGTTAAACATGCCACACATCATCGTTGCTATATTATTAATAAATATAGATTTATTTTGAGAATATTTGGAAAAATATTTACGGAGAAATGTCCATAATTCGATGCGACAGGTTTCTTTCTCTCTCGAGGCTTACTCACCAAACCGGTGCACAATCAAGGTTGTCAGCGACTTTTTGAAGGCTCTCGGCGAATTCGAATTAATTCCAACGGTTTTATAGAAACCTTTTCACTTTGGTGGATGTCTTCGGCCTGTCAACCCCTCTATCTCCCTGTCACTGCCCTACTGCTGGTTCTCCCAATTCCAGGCATTAGGGCTATGGGAGATGCTAAAATGATATCCCCATTTATACGCTTCGTTGATTTTTCTTTGTCCTTTTATCCCATTAGAAAGAGATTTCTTTGGAATTCTGCCTAAACCCGATCTTCTCGTTTCAGTCTATGCCGTCTCGATCACTGAGTCTGGCCGGTATGCCAGACTTCAGAGGATCAGCGGCTGCGGCTCATTACCGTAAGACGTCCATCACCGATCCAGTACGTTGCCCATACATTTCGCCATCTGGACAGCTTGAAGGTAAGCTCCTTTTTACACTCATTTTAGCATCTAGCAGACTTCCACCATTCTCTACTCTTTTTTCATTAAATTTCAAAATACTCATCCTTTTCTGGACGTGTTTTCCCTTAGGTCGATGTCTTTTTCTGGACGAGTTTCCCTTAGGTCGCCTTTTCTGGACGAGTTTATTTCTATGTCGATGAAGGTAGGGGTTTACACCGAGGAATCGAAAAATTTTGACTTTGTTCAAGCTACTGGTTCTATTTATTATCTTTTAGACTGTAAAACTACAGATGACGTTTTCCTCCTTTGATGGGCATGTTTTGAGACGACTCATCCTGATAGGTACCTTTGCACTGGCAAGTGTATGAGTAATGAGTAGGCATGAGGATTCGATACTAGTATTGTAATTTAAAGAAAGTGCATATTTATTGAGTAATAAATAAGGTACTAGTTTAATGCAAAAAAACCTGAAAAGGTTCCCAAGGTAACAGAATAGAGAGAGAGTGGGAGAGACATGTTGGACGTCACGTGAGACACCTTAGTCGGCTGGCTAGCAAGTTCCCCAACAGCCAGTTCAGTAGACCACTCTTTACTACTCTAATCAGACATCGTTAAATCAGAAATTGACCTTACCCCCCATACGACGGTCATGACCAAGCGACATTTCAACAATAATAATCAAATCAATGCCATAGATAGAGGTAAGGTATTCCTTGGTTTATGTAATTTGATCTTCAAGTTGCGCCATGCATTAGACCCCAGCAGAAAATCGTAGAGGTCAACGAGTAGAGCCTAACCTGGGCGAATCATCCTGAAATTGTCATTTTTCTTCAACCAAAATCCATATCCTCTGCCACTTCCAGTTCAGCCAATGTTTCCGACCAGCTCGCTTTTTTGACTTTTCATTTCCAGTTTAATTTGAATGATTGGAAACTTCACCTATCCGCTGAACACTTTTAAGAAAGTGGTCATTNATAACTTAATTGCCTAGTAGCATGGCATGAAAGCTAAGACGTGGGGTAATAAATCCCTTATAGGTACCTCACCCAGCCACTATATTTATTTTATTGTTTATTGTTGTTTATTGCATGTCCTTTTTTTCCTCATAGAGCTTTTATTGGTAGATTACGTCAGAATCATTACACAGCTATAAGCTGTGTTGACTGCGACATATTGTGGTTCGCTTAAAGCTTCCTTTGCTCTGTTTAATTTCGATGCTCATATTTTA